TGTGATGGAGCCAAAGTGAATAGAATGTGGAAGCAAAGGAATAAAAAATGAAAAATAACAAGAAGAGCAGGGTTACAACATAAAAAATTTGAATTTCAGCCTTTCTTTACCGGTAACCTAGGTGTACAATGTTTTATGATATTTTGCAGGATGGATTTTTGGAGCGGCTGACTTCCAGTGAATTTGTGGCTCTGTCTCGGGAGGTTGAGAAGTTTATCACGGATTGTGAGACCATTAGTGGTCGACGGTGTATGTCACTGCGATTCTGTCTACAGTCACAGGTGATTACTAAGCTCTACTCTGTTAGCGACTGAAAATTCACTGATGAATGTCATAGAGTGTATGGTGTTATTTAATAAATGATACCCTTTAAATTCTGAATTCTGCAGGCACTTAAATTTGTAAACAGATTCCATGAAGAAAGACGGACCAAACTCAGGTAATCATCACATTGTAGTAGAATTATGTGTTCATTGGATGTGTGATTTATAGGGTAAAATATCTGTGATGTATTTTGGAATAACTGCTCATGAAAACATAAAGTAAGAATTTCCACATCTATAGAATAATGTTGTTTATCGTAGCCTCATTTTGGACAATGAGCGATGGAAACAAGCGGACGTCCCAGCAGAATTCCAAGAGCTCGTTAATCATATCACCCTAACAGGTACACTAAAATGCATAGTATGTCTTTAAAATAGAAAATATTTCACAGATTTATGATTTATATTGTTATCTCAAAGTCTCTAGAAACACATCCCAGCTTACAAAACCTGGTGAATGCTTTATAGATGTTTTTTTTAACTAAAATAGACTAGGATCCTGTTAATTGTTGATCTCTAATCATTTTCAGGCATGTTAAGTCTACCAGAAAGGACGGCAGATTCAGGTGTGTTCCTACATTTTGTATTTATTTTCAATTGATTTTTTGTAATACAGGTGTATTACCGGTAATTACTTTAAACCAAGTATTATACTTGCCATGTTTTATTTGCAAATGACAAATAGTGAATTAGCCGCAACCATAAATTTCCACAAACAAGTAGTCACAATTTTTTTGCTTCCAAAAATATTTTTATATCAATTCAAATTCTTACATCTGCCCCTTAACTAGATAAAATTCTACTGTGAATTCTAATTTTGCATTAGCTATGGTGTTTTGTATTTTATTGTGTCAGGGTTTATTTCATGATACAATAGTGTAACTCTATTGGACTTGATGACAAAGATGGTAAAGAAAAGTATGAACAGAGGTACAAGCTCACAGATGGTGTGGATATTTATGTCACATGTATAATACTTAGCTTGTTTTATTAGACTGCTCTATTTATGCATGGTAAGTTATAAATATTATTTATGATATTTATAATGTTACTATTATTTGACTTGTTTCTGTGTTTAGATAAAGGCCCTACAGAAGTGTTGGTAGTGGAAGATCAAACATTTGCAGTTGTAGGGTAAGTATTTACTTGCTTACTTAATTATCTTTTCCGCCCCCAGAGAATGTATGAGGCCTTATAGGGAAAGTAAATTGGGGTAAAATCCTAGTGCACATGTTTTCAAAATACCGGTAGGTAGAGTAGTAAAACAAAGATGATATTTCTGCATGCAATAGTAACTTTAATGTTCAATTTGGTAGTACGTGAAAATTCTACTGTCATTTTCCAACAGAGCACAGTGCTGATGATCAATTATATTAAAAAGTTTACAGTATAGAAGATGTTTATTCATATGGAGGGTAATCGTGTTCAAAATTCCAAACTTGAAAGTTTGTTAATCCAAACTTGTAATTGTATCAGTTTCATAGTCTACGTATGCAAGTTAAGGTAATTCCGACATCCAAGTATGTAATTGTGAACATACAACTGTGTAGACTTAGAGTTTATATCATGAATGTGTGTACATTGTATCTTTGATGCAAAACTTTGTTTCCCGGAATTTATATTTCCGTACTCTGAATAAAACACAAAGACGATTCACAAGTCTGCAAAGTTTTAATGTAAAGTCTACATGTTTGTCGAATTTTGTTAATGTGAAACTATGGAAGGGCATCAGTGCCACAATTATTTTTTTTGCAATTTTAACATTTTTTCAAAATGAAATAAATTATTTAGACTTTTTTTCTTTTTTATGGCGTCGAGCGAAGCTCGAGCGTCATCTAGTGATCGACCAGATTTAAGCGACTTAATGTGAGACAGTGGATGCATATGCATCCGCAATAGAAAATAGCAACAGCTGTAAACCAATTTCTTTGAAAACACTCACAATGAATAATAGCTTGAATATTAAATTACCGGTATGTCAATTGTATCTTCAATTAATTCTACTACAAAACAACATTATGGATAATTTTTATGCAAGAAAAATGTTATGGTTGTTGCGGATGAATTTCTATAGAGAGTGTGCGTCGAATGACATGAATTACATTTTGGGACCGATTACTGTTTTACAAACAACCTTAAAGATGGTAAAATAATTATAAAATAAACACGAATACTGTAGGACTATAAAGATTGAATTTCTTAATCTCAGCTTTACCTTTACATTCTTCAATCCAAATTTGTCCGAAAAAGCGATGATATTTGCCAGTATTATTGTATTCATCCATTTCCTCCATTTGTTACCGCTCCCTATCGTAACTTGATTGTGCTTGTAATAGTAGAGTCATGGTTGTAGTTTAGATGGAATCACTTTACTGTAGAACAATGCTATGACAATGGCAATTAGAAAGAATAATATATATTAAATTTATGAGACCCTTCATAGGTCTTTGATTGATTGAAAAGAAATTAGTTTGATCACAGGGGCTTGTGAAAAAATGTATAAGTAAAAAATAATTAGTACCTCGGAGAAAAAACACAGGTTTGTGTAGAATAAATAAATCAGTTAAAAGAAATTAGTATCTCAGAGAAAAAAACCCACTGTTTTTTTCCGAAATACCTTTTACCTTGATTAGTCAATATAGATCAAGTTTGCATTTTGTTCTGCTTCATTGATTTTTGAAGGAATTCATTATGCACTAAATTTATGTCGTGATGCACTACATTCAAATGAGGCATTCATTAGAAAATAGAAATTTAAATGAACTACTAGTATATTAATGGTGTTGTAGAGTAGGGTTTCCCCCATAGCCAGCTTTCCTCCCGGAAATCGTACTTCATCTAGAGTAGGATTTCCCCCAAAGACGTCACAAGTCTTTCTTTGTAAGGCAGATCCAATATATTTCATCCATATTCCAGTAATAAATGAAATGTCCATATTTAGGTAACAATTTTTCATACACAGACTCGTATAAAATGACACCCTAAAGAGAAAAGGGGAATCTGGTAGGGAACATGTATTGCTTACGCTATACTCTCAGAATGCTTGGTTAATTATAGTATAGATTTTTATTTGTTTACAGTGTAGATGTTTATTTGTTTACAGTATACAGTAGATGTTTATTCATATGTTAATTTGTTTACAGTATGTTTACTTGTTTACAGGACGGTGCTGATGCTGTTGAAGATGATGGTGGAGTATTGTCAGTGTGTTAATGACATTCCATCAGCGGCACCAGATCTGTTGTCTAGACTGGTAGACCTCTTCAAAGTGAGTCTCAGATCCATGTTAAACATACTGTAAACCAACTTTAATTTGCGACAACTTTATTTCGCAATTTACCAAGGATAAACTACTTCGTGACAATAAATTTTCTCGATCAAGCCATTTTGGATCTGTTGTTAATACACAAATACGCTTTAAAAGCCGGTTTATCGTGGCTAGAAATATTCGCAATGGTGAGGCTCTCGCGAACTTCGCGAAAATTTCTCGCATACGAATAAAAGTTGGTTTAAAGTAATCATTATGTACTTGTTAATTACATAACTGCGAAATCCCTAATTAGAAATGTGAATTATCTCTGATACGTTTTGTATTTTCTCGACAGTAATTCCTACAACATTTATTATATTTATTTTAAAAAATGGAGATAAATCAAGATAATCTTGAAATTCATGAATTATATTTCAGTGATGTGCTTATAATATATTTTCTCTACAGTTATTCTTACATGTATTCAATCTAATAAAAGTTAGATGTTAGATTCACTCACATACTCGCTACACTAACATCTAACAACATCCCATAGAGGGTCACGTCAGAGGTCAAATCCAGAACAACTCTAGACTTATCCGCTTCAAAAAATGTACGATGAATTTGCAGGTGATGAATTGATTGGTTGATAGAATTTGACCTCTGACGTGATGTTGTTAGATGTTAGATGTTAGTGTAGACAGAAAGTGAGCGGATTTAGCATCTAATTTTTATTAAATTGACATGTACAATTCTTACATTTATTATTGTGTCTATAAAAAAAATGGAGATAAACCAAGATAATCTTGTTGTCAGAGATTGTTGTAAAAGGGAGGTAACTTATAATAAAATTATTGATGTTCAATGTTGTAGATTTTCAATTCAAGAACTTGCCAGCTGGTGTTAGGTGCAGGTGCCCTTCAACTTGTGGGACTGAAAACCATCTCCACAAAGAATCTAGGTACACAGTGCTTTTAATAGTGCATATCAGTGTCTTAATCTTAAACTGCAATTTGTTTGTGGGAGAAAACTTGAACTAAAAGACCTTATCCTTATTTTTGAGGGGTCAAATTTTTGTGGTTTAAGGAAAAATTACTGGTGTGAGGGGATTTTTATTCGTGGTTAAAAGAGTACAACTTTACTGTTGTGCCAAATTTTAACATTTCAAAGGGGGATTCAAATTCATGTGTCTCTCTTCATCATGTAAACAACGAATATGAAATCCCAACCAAAATTAGTTATTTCAATATATATATATACAGAGCAAAGTAGCTGATCAGAGGAAATTCAGATTGTTGGTTTGTTTTCAGCTCTGGCCTCCAGATGTTTACAGTTGGTTGTGTACTTCATTCCTAAAGTCCGGCTCCATTTTGAGGAGAGACTGGCTTCTAAAAATAAAACAATGCTCAAACACCTGGACCAAGTACAAAAGGTAAACTACATATATGTATTGTATTGCGGGAAGGAAATTTCATTGTCTAAATAGAGACTTTTACCGATTACTGTATTTCATAGGATAACCTTTATAATAATGTGATTTTTTACAATGTTTATATTTTTTAGGTCTCCTTTTGCGATCTGTTGTTGTTCGTCATTTTGTGTCCATAGTTAATATAAAATAATATCTGCCCCTTCTCTAGAACTGCTATAGGAATTTCAACTAATTTCAGCATATGACATCGATGATCTTATTTACATGTAATAACATGTAAACTTAGATATTGATATTTTTTAAAGTTGAGTTCATTTTTTAAAATAACATGTATACTTTTAAAAGTGAGCTCAACTTTAAAAAATATTAATATCTATGAAAAGAGTGATAACTCAATCTCCTTTTGCCAGTTGAAAAAATAGAAATTAAGTTATTTCCCTTTCAGTATGCCAATAAAATTCATCAGTGGCTTAGGAAATTTTAATCTAAAAACAATTATTCCCTTTTGTAAATTACTCAAAAAATTAACCACATCTTTTTCAATGACCAAGAGAGGATTAACGATGTTTACGATTATGTGTTATTAAGTACTACATGTGTATTCAGGGTATAGTGACAAATGGAAATATATTAGGCTGGCAAGTAAAACGTTATACTCCTTATATAAATTTAACCAGACTAACTATTTTACTCAGATTAAAATGTGCATGTAAGATATTAATAACTTACCAATCATCAATAAAAAAGAAACAGGTCTTCTCATTTGTAATTTATGAGTGCGTGTTGCATTGTTATGGTTTACAGAAACATCCAAGTGTATTCATTTTATTCTTTTTTCTTTAATTATAGTTTCATTGCAAATACTTGATTTTTTTCACTTGTCTTTTATTACACTGAGCAACAAACAGATTGTCATTTGTATCTATACACAGTCCCCAGGGTCTACTCAGTCCACAGTTTATGTAACGGAGGAACTGTCCATCCTGGTCTATGATGTGGACACACTCATTGTCACGATCAGCTGTAAGGATGTGACTCTGACTGTCTGTGGTGATTCCTCGTGGATAAAATGTTTGGTTCTTTGGAGCAGGAGTTTGTCCAGTGTACCTGAATCTCAGTTTCCCGGCCTGATTGACCACCACTACTGCATCAGCTCTACTGTCTGACACACAGATATCCAGGTTCCTGTTCTCTGTTATGTATTTGTAATAATAACCAAATGAATAGAGAGGGTTACCTTTATCATCAAACTGAATGGTTTGTTTTTCTGTGGAGCCAGAGTAACAGACAGCTTTTGTTTGTGTGTAATCATCACTGTCCATGATAACCAGGAGGTCACCAGAGGAGGTACTACAGATACTCCAAGGTATCCAGTTCTGTAGTCTGATCACCTCCTCTATCTTCTCATTCTTCACAATGTTCACAGTTCTATCATTGTAATCAGTATAAACTAGATCTCCACTTCTTGTCACTGCTATGTTTATTGGTTTGTTCCCTGACTTGGTTGTGATTGACTTGAGTAGTGATCCTTGATTGATGCTGTAGAGTTTTATGGTGTTGACATTTCCTCTTGTCCAGATTTCTTCATCACTCAGACAGGCCACATTGTAAAGGTTTCTATACCCAGTGTCTATGGTGGTGACAGTCTCTGGTTCATCAAGCAGCTGTTTGACGGGAGGAAAGGATCCAGCTTCTGGTGATTTCTGTGTTTTCATACTGTAGCCATGTTTATCTGATGTTAAAGAACTTGATGATACAGTTCCAAACAATTTGCTGAATTCTGCTTGGATTTTTCCTGGAGCAAATTTAGGTAAGGAGGGAACCATTTTTTCTGGAAGATTTCTGTGTCTGTCTATTTCAGAACTGAGACTAAATAATTTTGAAATGATATTAGAATTTACAGCAACATCCATTGAATCAATTTCATCCTTGATGTCAGACATTGTCTTGTTTATTTCATCCAGATGTTTCTGTAGAGTTTGTAACTGTGTGTTTTTCATCTTATCAACTTCAGCTTTAAGTTTCTTGACAAGTTTGTCAATTTCTCTGTGCCAGTCCTCTCCATGTTTTGTTATGGCTGTTGAGAGATCTCCATATTCCTTTTCTAACTGAATCATTCTGTTTTGTACATCAGAGGCAATGTCCTGGTAGGTGGGGTAAATTGTCTCTTTTAATTCAGTTTGTTCTTTTAAAATCTTATCTTTTTTTTCATCAAGAACCTGTAAAACTTTTAGTAATTTATGACCTAGATGTTTATCTGAAGTAAGACAGCTGGCACACACAGGAATGTCACATTGTTTACAGTACATTTCACATCTCTCTTTGCTGTGTGATTTACATACAGGGTAGAGGGGAGTGGATTTTCTAAGTTGAAATGGGACAATTTCATGTTTTTTGAATTGATCAGGGATCATGTGTTCTCCCACACAGGCCTTACACAGGTTGACAAGACATGTATCACAGTGCATCTGTACTACAGTGGTCTCACACAGGTCACATCGCATCACGTCCTGGGCACTGGTACGGGGGTCCATTGTGAAACTATAGGCCTACTATAGAAAAAAAAATTGTGAATTCTAGATTTTGTCAAGGAACCTCAGATAAAGTAAAACAAATAAATAATGTGTGTTTGAACTTGTCAAATCATTGAAGAAATAAACTAAATTGTAGCATATTCACAATAACTTAAAAGTATACACGCTATAACTTGCGCTAGTTAAAATACGATTGGAAATTGATATAATTTGTTTATCAAATGAATAAAAGTTACGAAAATATTGTAAATTACACAATTAAAATTAAACGTGTTACAAAGATATCAAATTATGATTATTTATTATCCTGCAAGGAAAGAAAAATAGCTATTTTTAAATAAACCTATCACGTGACGCCGTCGCTACTTTTAGATTGATAAACAAACGTGGCGTAAAGAAAACGAGGTAGGCTGTTTGAGATACTACTCACTTTTGACGTGGATTGCAAGCGTTTTACTTAATGGTACTTATTTCTAGTGTTTTCAATACCAACCATCTTCTCTATTATGATGCATATTAACCATATATTAATGTCAGAATGCAGCATACCTCGTTGTCTGTGATTTCCCGTGGACATGTGTTTCTATATATAGGCCTACTGTTTACCACTTCATTCATCAATATTCATGAAAAGACTAAATTCTGAATTCCTAGATATCGTTTAATTGTTTTGTTATTACAACAACATCTATAGTACAATTTTGTGGAAAGTATTATTTTTCATTACACTTCATGTGTTTTAAATCCTTTATCATTTTGTTTCACACAAAATTTGGTGTTCATATAGCGTATATGACTTTAAATCTCTGTGAAATAAATAAAGCAGAGTTGTCTTTTCTTTCATCCTCATGGTATACAAGTTCTCTTTGCTATCTTTGTTGTAAATGGTGCAATGGGAGTTTAGAAATGCTTTGTACATCATCAGTAAACATGTAGATTACAAAATCAACTTTTGAAAACATACACCTCCTGTTGCAGTCATACCCATAATGATGCTCATGACCTTGAAAGCAATACTTTGATCAAGAACTTTGTTAAGATCAAGAAATGAAGGTATAGGTGATACATGTATGTATAAATTGGAGAAATATTGCTAAAATAAGAAAATCAATTAATAAACAAAATTAATATGAAATGAAATCAATCCATAATTGTTACCTGACTTTAATGGCGTCTGTCTTGTCAGCCAAATACACTACAAGTACATGTATCACATGACCCACTTACCTGTGTTATATACCTGTCAGGTATTTTACTTCCTGGTCTGCTTGTACTGGGGATTTAAATATTTTAGTTGTTTACTCTGCCTATTTTAACATATCTTTATCAATACAAGTAAGTATAAAAGTATTTATACTCCAACTTTCCTTGCTTCAATAAAATAAATTAAGTGAGAATAAGTTGTATTGCTACTTTTTTTTGTCTTGTATACTTTTAAAATAAATTATAATGTTAAAATAATTCAATATAAGAGTGGTGTAAAGCAAAAACTTGCCTGGGGACTTAGAAATTTTGACTAGTAATAGTATATATTTTTGTGATGGAGAATCTTTAAAAGTTCATACTTGATATAAAGATTGCTCATGATGAGAGGATGTGTTTTGACATTGACCAAAGGTCATTCTCATACGTTCAAGTCTTCAAGGTCACTGACAGAAAAAGTTTAACATTTTGTCCAGGTTATACATTTGTAATGATGAATTATTAAAAGATCAAACTTGGTACAAAGTTTGTTTATGACCTGATGTTTGTATAACTATCACACATGTCATTGTGGTGACTATTGGCCATTGACACAGCTTACTTTACATTTTTGATGATACAAATATTTGAGCTTTTCCATTGCAAAGCATGGACTTTCCTATTATATGCAAAAAGGAGTCCGGTTTAATTTAAATTTGAAAATAATTCATCAGTTTTTAACGGTCAAGTAGATTTAAAACGTAATGAACATAAACATCAGGAAAAAAATGCATGAACATTATAAATTTGTACTTGAATATTAATAGTGGAGTAAGATAGGCAGGATACATGGTTTTCTGCTTGATCTTATGTCTACAGTATACTGGTGAAACCGAAGTGGACTATAGGTTTCCTCTGCGTGTCTGTCTGTCTGTCTAGCTGTCCCACTGTCAGTCTGTCCTAATTGGTTTTCTGCACTTTTTTCTAAACACATGCAGTTTTGAGCTGAATTTTATTTTGTGAGTCACTCACTCACTCAATATCTTGATGAGTTACAGATCAAGTTTGAATGTTGTTTCGCTTCATTGAAGTTTTACAGAATTATGTAATTTTTAGCTCTACTGGTCAGAGACCAGAAGAGCTTATGCGATAGTAATACGTCCGGCGTCTGTCCGTCTGTCTAACTGTCTGTCTGAGTGTCTGTAAACAATTTTTTAAAATGCTACTCCTCCTACAGTTTTGGCCTGATTTCAATATAACTTGGCACACAAGTAGACTACACTAAGATACATAATTCTGTGTATCGGTTTTGGATTTCAATGAACAGTGTTGCTGTGGTTACTAAAAATAGAAATTTCTGAGAAATTATGTCAAAATGCTACTATTATAGTTTTGGTCTGATTTCAATATAACTTGGCACACAAGTAGACTACACTAAAATACATAATTCTGTGTATTGGATTTTGATTTCGATGAACGGTGTTGCAGTGGTTATCAAAATTAGAAATTTCTGTGAAATTGTTTCAAAATGCTACTCCTCCTACAGTTTTGGTCTGATTTCAATACAACTTGGCACACAAGTAGACTACACTAAGATACACAATTCTATGTATTTTTTTTTCGAGTTTAATGAATGGTGTTAACGTGGTTACTGAACATAAAACTTTCTGTGATATACTTTCAAAATGCTTCTCCTCCTACAGTTTTGGTTTTATTTCAATATAATTTTGCACAGAAGTAGACTACATTAAGATACACAGTTCTGTACATAGTACATACTCATATTGCGATTTTGTTGAACATACTGTAATTGCCTTGGTTACTAATAATAGAATTTTGTGTAAAATACTTTCAAAATGATACCCCAAATAGAGTTGTAGGCCGATTATAATATAATGTGGCATGCAAGTATACTACACTAAGAACATAGAGAGACTTAAACAAGGATCATTATTCTATTTATTGCTGTTGTAAAATTTCAATTCCCAACTGCTACTTTTCTCTTCCTTTGCTATAAGTGTAAACCAGTAGAGCTTCAGTCTTGACAGAGACTTCTGTGGTCCTTTTCACAAAAAAATCTTACGACTAAGACTAAAATTTCACCACTCTGTAATTTTTTATTGAATAAAGATATTTTTTCTAAATATTTAATTAATATGAAATCATAGAATATCAATATAATGTAACAGAAAAATAAGATTTTCGCAACTTAGATATTGCTGTAGAAAGGGGGAAAGTTTTAGTTTTGGTCGTAAGATTCTTTGTGAAAAGGGCAACTGGTTCATAATGTTTTAAGATCGGGATTGTTCTGCGCTAAATTCTGAAAGTCAACATGGTAAATATGAAGCGAGAAAAAGACGTTGAAAAAATGAGTTGAATTTTCAACTTCATATGGATTATTTTTTATGTTAAAGGCATGCACAACCTCAAAATTTTAACATTAAGCAGTTTTACCTTGGTCATAACTTTTGCATATTATAAATGATATCCTTAAGAAAAGGGGGAACCCGATAGGCGACATTTATTGCTTATGTAATACTTTCAGATTGCTTGTTATATCTATCATATTGTCATCTATAAATCATACAGGTTGTAAAATAATCGGGTGACCATTATGGCCCATGGACCTCTTGTGTGTTCTTTGGTGTAGCAGTATATATTATTTTTATTGTACAATATTTTTATGGTCATCACTTCTAACTGTGTTGAATTTTATTGTTCTTTCAGGATTACTGTGACCACATTAATGAGATAACAAACAAACTTGTTACTGTCATGGAGGGGGTCATAGCTCAACAACTGTCAAAGGTTAGTATGGATGTCAAAGATCAGTGTAGAGGTCAAAAGTGATTTACCATGAATGTATCTACTGAATATGACTATTTTGTACATGTTTCTATTTCTCAAATATTTACTTTTTTATCTGAATTTAAGGCAAAAGCTTCTTTTGTAAATAAAATGATCAGTTTTGCTTCTTTAAATTTGTAAATAAAATGTTTAGTTTTGTTTCTTTTTCAGTGGGAGGTGAAGGCCCCTATGCCCTCCATGTGTTTTAGGTCCATCTGTAAACAAATCAGCAAAATGCACGAAGCTGTCCTTGATATTTTGTTGCCAGATCAAATCAAGGTCAGCTCTCAGTTTAACTAGTAATATTCGATATGCATCATTTGAATGATGCCAATTTTATATGTATAACATTCACTAGTGCAATTTAAGTTGTTATTATTTTAATGTACTTTTTAAATACATGTATTCCTGGGTATATGTCCATTTGTTTAAAAAACAAATCTGACATTCAGAATTTGTGAATGGAAAAATTGATTCATTGAAAATGGCAAATTTCAGTAAATCATGATCATTTCTTCTTACTATCTATTTTGTTACAGGAGCTATTTACCAAGATTAACAGCTGTTTTAAGAAGTTGATCAGACAGCAATTAGTTACATTAGAAGTCTCTAAAAATGGGGGACCACAACACGGGTAAATATCTGACTTCAACACGGTTGAATATCTTACCTCAACACATATAAATATATGACCTCTACATGGGTAATTATCTGACCTCAACACATGAAAATATGACCTCTACATAGGTAATTATCTGACCTCTACATAGGTAATTATCTGACCTCAACACATATAAATATATGACCTCCACATGGGTAATTATCTGACCTCAATACATGTAATTATATGACCTCTACATGGGTAATTATCTGACCTCAATACATGTAATTATATGACCTCTACATAGGTAATTATCTGGCCTCAATATATGTAAATATATGACCTCTACATAGGTAATTATCTGGCCTCTACATGGGTAATTATCTGACCTCAACACATGTAAATAAATGACCTCTACATGGGTAATTATCTGACCTCAATACATGTAATTATATGACCTCTACATGGGTAATTATCTGACCTCAATACATGTAATTATATGACCTCTACATGGGTAATTATCAGACCTCTACATGGGTAATTATCTGACCGCAATAAGGGGAAATATCTGACCTTGTCATGGGTAATTATTTGATCTTGTCGTGGGTTAAACAGTAACTGACTTTAAAGATACACCCTTTTAATAGAAAGAAATAAGCTAGCACATAATATTCTGAACATGACTAAAGATATTGCCCTGTCTACATATTAATATATATGTACTGTCTTCTTAGCTAGCATTGTTTAGGTTTTGAAGCTTTCTGGATTGTAGGTCAAGTATTGACCTCAGCAAAATATTTGTTACCGGTAATCTCTATTAATTTTGCATATAGAATATACTTTCACTTCTTGTCACTTTGCACATGCACTTAAAATTAAAATAATGTAGCTTAATCCTTAACAAGAATTTATCTTTGTGATTTCAGACTGGTGATGTCCGACTTAGCATTCTATTCCGGGACATTTAAAACTTTACGAGGGTTGGAGAGTTTAGCACAAGACATGAACGATGTGTGGGACGTGAGGTGACAGCGCCCTCTACAGTCTGGCATGGTCATTTTTTCTCTGTGTGCAATAATAAGACACTGGTCATTGAAGGGGAGACAACTCACTCTCTCATGTCAACATGTTCTAAGTTATTATAATGGCATTTTTTAAAAACCAAACTTTTTATTCGTATGCATTTTATGAGACTGTTTATTATCTGATGTCTGTGATTTCTGAAGCAAAAAAGTGTCAGTAATATTTATACAAATAATAAAAATTATTTATTGACATTTTTGTCTTTTTTTAGTCAACTCTAGCGACCGTTTGTTATCCATTTTCGTTTGTTGCCGTGTGTTATCACCATATTCAAAGAAATTCCACAAACTTTGGATCAACTCTCATAGTTACATGTATGTTGAGAAAGGTTGCCTCTTCCAAAATTGTGATTTTCATGACTTTGGGGTCAGAGGTTTTGGTGTTGTTGGGGGGGGGGGGGGGGCTCTATTGATTATATATACATGTATTGAAAATGCTTTAATTCTTTGAAAAACTTCTCCTCTGCTCCTGGACATTAAATAAACTTACTACCGGTACATACATAGTTGGGAAAATTTTCGTGGTTTGAGAAAAAAATATTGGTTTGTGGGGAGTTAATTTCGTTGGTTGGAAAAATGCATAGTGGTACTGCATATCAAATTTTACATTTCATGGTGGTCATAAATTCATGGGTCTCTCCATATCTCGAAAACAACGAAAATGAAACGCCCACGAAAATTTGTGATTTCACAGTATTCTTTGAAAATATTCTATATTCTGGGTATTGTGCTGATGAACTACTTTTATATCTATGATGAACAATGATTCTTCTCAAGAAGAATTGTGAATTTCAAGGCCACTGGGTCAGGGGTACAGTATGGGTTCTGGTGTTAGGGTGGGGCTCTAATCATATATTGTAAATGAATTAATGCCTTGAAATTTGTACCTTGGTTTTAATCAAACATTTATGATGAGCAAGGATGCCTTTTCCAAAATAGTGAAATGTGTGACTCCAGGGTCAAGGTTCCTGTGGGGTAGGGGCGCTACTGATTATTGCTGAATATTACTGATTATAGACAAAATTTGCATTTTCCCCCTATTCTGCCTATGGGTATAAATTAACCAAACTAAGCATGCTAAATGCATAGGCATCGGAAGCAGTTTGAAAGGGGGGGGGGGGGCTAATTGATAGTGGGGAGCTAAACCAACAAAAAAGGTAATCCCTAATTTTCAATGCCTATATAATGTATATATTTGCAAAAAAGTTGGAGGGGGGCTAACCCACCCCCCCCCCCGTTCCGACGCCTATGCTAAATGTATGATTATGATAAGCAATGGTGCTAGTCTTTCAAAATTGACAATATCATGACCTCTGGCTTTAAACACAAACCATGGTGCCTCTTTCAAAATTTGTATGTCGTGGCCTCTGATTTATCAATTATTAGAAAGTTGCTGCATGATGCTGAGAGGTGACCTATAAGGCCTGTGGGCTTCCTGTTTTTTTTGGATTTACGTGAGATTTGGGTCTGAGATGATTGCTGGGGAGTAGTTTGAAGACGTTAGTGGTTATACGGTAGTGGGAAAGCAGCTGGGCCTGATGGAATCCCTCCAGAAGCCCTTAAAGCAGACACAAAGACTTCAGCAGACATGTTACTACCCCTCCTGCAGAAGATATGGTCAGAGGGGAAGGTACCAGCTGATTGGAAAAAAGGACATCTAGTGAAGCTACCAAAGAAAAGAGACCTGGGACAATATAAGAACTGGCGAAGAAAGACTTCGTCCTGAACAGGCAGGCTTTAGAAAGGACAAGTCCTGTACAGACCAGATCGCCACTCTACGTATAACAAGCAAATTCAAAGAATTGTGGTCCCCCGCTTTCGGTGTCTTTGTGGGTGAGATGTTATTTTTATGACATATTGTGTCTAATACGAACATCTTATCATACATGTATGTCATTTATTTAGAAAGTAACACTGAAGTTGATTTTTTGAAGGATGAAAACCCTAATCCTGACTGTTAAAATTTATGGCCAAAGTAAAATGGTTTTTAAAAGTAGGTCAACTCCAAGGTCAAGATCAAAGGGTCAAAGTTGTTGATATCCAATGAAAAGTTTTCTCACAAGAATTACATATGTGAAGTATGAAAGCCCTAGCCCTTACTGTTCAAAATTTATGGTCAAGTTTAGAGTTTTTTCATAAGTACATAAAACTTTAAGGTCAAGGTCAAAAGGTCAAAGATGTTGATATCCAATGAAAGGACTTGCCACAAAGAATACATATGTAAAATATAAAAGTCCTAGTATCTACCGTTCAATAGTTGTGACCGATGATAAAGTATTTTTAAAAAATAGTTAAAACTCCAAGGTCAAGGTCAAAAGGTAAAAGTTATTGGTATTGAATGAAAGGTCTTCTCAAAAGGATCACATATGTGAAGTACAAAAGCCCTAGTCCTCACCGTTCAAAAGTTATGGTCAAGGTTAAAGTTTTTTCATAAGTACAGAAATCTCCAAGGTCAAGGTCAAAAGGTCAAGGTTGTTGGTATCCAATGAAATGTCTTGCCACAAGGAATACATATGTGAAATATAAAAGTCCTAGTATCTACTGTTTAAAAGTTGTAACCAATGTTAAATTTTTTAAAATGTAATTAAAACTCCAAGTTCAAGGTCAAAGGGCAAAAGTTATTGGTATCCAATGAAAGATCTTCTCACAAGGATTACATATGTGAAGTACGAAAGCATTTGTCCTCACTGTTCAAAAGTTATGGTCAAGGTTAAAGTTTTTTCATAAGTACGTGAATCTCCAGGGTCAAGGTCAAAAGATCAAGGCTGTTGTTATCCAATGAAAGGTTTTGCCACAAACAATATATATGTGAAATATGAAAGTCCTAGTACCCACTATTCAAAAGTTATGACCAAAGTAAAAGCTTGGAATTTTTGTGTAAAAATGGGTCAAACCCCAAGGTCAAGGTCAAAAGGTCAAATTTGGTGGTACCCAAAGAAAGGTCTTGTCACAAGGAATACACATGTGAAATATGAAAGTCCTAGCTCCACTAAATCAAAAGTTATGGGCAAGGTTAAAGTTTTTGTGACGGACAGACTGACGGACAGACGGACAGACGAATGAGATTTAATGTCCCCTCGCTTTCGCGAAAGCGGGGGACAATAATCGAACAGTCACTGGAGTGGCAGTCAACACTGTATCTTAACTTCATAGACTTTGAAAAGGCCTTTGATAGTGTTGATAGAAAAGTCATCTGGAAACTACTACAGCATTATGGAACGCCTCCTACCTTTATCAACCTGATACAACAATTGTATGACGAGGCAACATGCCAAGTCATCCACAATGGAAAGCTTACTGAAGCGTTCGAGGTACAGACTGGGGTTAGACAAGACTATTTGCTGTCACCAATGATTTTTCTAGTGGTAGTGGACTGGATCATGCGGGAGACAACGAAAGATAGTAAGACAGGAGTCCAGTGGACTTTCACTCAGTGTTTGGAAGACCTTGACTTTGCAGATGATCTATGCCTCATGTCCCAGAAGTATGAACATATGCAGCTCAAGACAAATAGGCTTGCAAAAGAAGCAGCAAAGACAGGTCTAAAGGTGAACATCGAAAAGACAGAGGTGATGTGGCTCCACAACAAACAGCAAACGCCATTTACACTTGGAGAGCACATCCTTAAAGATGTAGAATCCTTTACATACTTAGGCAGTATCGTCACAGCCACTGGTGGAACAGATGAAGACATAAAAGCTAGAATTAACTAGAGGTACTGTGAGCGATGAGCTCACTAAATGATACCCCCCGCCTCCCATATGGTTATAACTGGTGAAAAAGTCCATGTTTTCCTGTGGCCGGGAAACCCAAAATATGTGTCGGATCAAAAAGTAAAATAGGAGGTGCACAATGGCAATATGTAATAAAGATTTTGTGAAAGTTTCATCAAATTTCATTCAGTGGTATGAGAGGAGTTACGGATAAGAGATGGGTACCCCAAAGCGTAACAGACGGACGGACAGACAGACAGACGGACGGACGTACAGACAGACGGACGGACGGACGGACGGAATTAACGATTACTATATACCCTCCCGCTTTTCAAGGGGGGGGTATAATAAAGCCAGACACATCTTCACCACCCTCAAGCCTGTGTGGAGTTCAACAGCACTATCCACACGCATTAAACTCCGCATCTACAACACCAATGTTAAGTCTGTGCTCCTATAAGGGTCTGAAACATGTAGAGTCACCAACACCACCTCCAACAAACTACAAACCTTCGCTAACAGATGTCTGCGCCACATATTAAACATCAGATGGCCAGAAACTATAAGCAACAAGATCCTGTGGGAAAAAACAAACTAAGACCCAATCACTATAAACAAATAGCTCGCAGAAAGTGGCGACGGATTGGACATTACACCAGGAGACATTACACGCCACTCACTCGAGTGGAACCCACAAGGTAAACGGCCAGTTGGGCGTCCCAGGAAAACTTGGCGCGAAGGACATGTGAAGAGGAGATCAGGCAATGCACTTGGGAACAACTGAAAAGGGCTACCCAGAAAAGAGTGCGGTGGAGAACTGTTGCCGAGGCCCTATGTTCCACCAGGAACAAAAAGAAACCATGATGATGATGAGTAGTTATTTAGTAAAGTTTCCACTCAACCATGGAGTTTTGCAAATTTTGAATTCGATTATGTATGAAACTAGAGGTTTAGCTAATTTTTGTGAATTTGGTGTGCCATAATGTAGGGCTTTCGTATTTCACAGGTGTATTCCTTGTGACAAGACCTTCCTTTGGGTAAAAACACTTTTGATCTGACCACCTTTGAAGTCTGTCATGCATCACATTCAGCAAAAAAAAAAAAAAAAAAAAATCAGTCAGAAAAGTTATGGTGATACATGTAAAAGATCATAGGCCTTGTCGTAATTTGAATTTTGCTCGTTTAAGGATTTTTTTTAATATTTACATTTTAAATTATTTTTGCATACTCGGTATTTTGCATAGAAAATATTTGAGAGTATTGCTTTTATCTGCATGATATGGTGTTCTGCACGTTTTATGCAATTCTCATGGTCCAGTAAATAAAGAATACTCGGTATTAGTCATTTTGTATCTAAATATATTGTATCAAAAGAATTGGCAATGGACTTAAAAAAAAAACAGAAAAAGGGGGTTAGATCTTTTACGGTCAGAAATATCAGTCAGAAAAGTTATGCTGAAAAAAGTTATGTTGAGATACTTGTAAAAGATCATTGGCCTTGTCGTGATTTGAATTTTGCTCGTTTAAGGATTTTTTTATATTTAAATTTTAAATTATTTATGCATAGAAAACATTTGAAAGTGTTAATTTATCTGCATGTTATGGTATTCTGTAGGTTCCATGCGATTCGCCCAGTCAAGTAAATAAAAAGTATAACCGGTAAAGTCATTTTATGTCTAAATATATTATATCAAAAGAATTTAATGCATTGGCAATGGAATTCAAACAAACAGAAAAGGGGGGCGGGTTAGATCTTTTATCGTTGAAAAAAAAAATCATAAACCCTCGTCATTAAGTTGCCATACGGGGACCTCAGTGTTTCACAAATACATCTTAATTGTTCTTTTAAATATTTACTGTGTAAAATAAAATATACATAAGACCCTAGAGCTAAATACATGTATTAGATTGTTAGTTAACCATTATGCGATTGTTATTTAGGGTCCATAAAATTTTCAGAGATGTGGATATGGGATAAAAATCCATTTACAACACCCCCCCCCCCCCCGATAAAAAAAAATCAAATATGAAAAACTGCTTTGGGGAATTTTGACTTTTTCTCAAAAATTATCTTTCAATGACATTTTGTAAATCAACACCAACAATATTTGAAATTACCTAAAACAAACAATTATTAAGAGCTCTCTCTCTCTCTCTCTCTCTCTCTCTCTCTCTCTCTCTCTCTCTCTCTCTCTGGTGTAAATACGTCGGGCTCGGTATTCAGGGTTGAATTTTGTAGATGTCAACTGTGCAGAAGAAGAAAATTAGGCCAAGGTTATATTATTGTTGCAGTGTTGCATACACAGGACAGAATCAAGAATGGCTGCACCAACGGTAAGAATTTTTACAGTAATTATTTTACAAACTGTAGTTAGACACTTTATTTAATTCATTTTTGAATTATGAAGGAATCGCCAGAAATTCCTCTGTTGCAATAACTGCGTCATAAACTCTTCCTCGTATTCTACTTAAAAAATAAAGACAAAAATAAAATAACGCCATGTATTCTTACTTTAAATGGGTTTATACATACCACAGAGAGAAACCTTTTGGTTTATCAGTTCATTGGCTAGGAAGAAATGTCGGGGGGGGGGGGGGAGGGGGCACTAAGGGAATACCTCACTGAGACGTGAGCAGGTCCAGCACAATACCCCGATAAAGGTATACTAAAGCTATATAGCTTTATCAAGTTATTTAAAATACCTTGATCAAGGTATTTTATGTAATGAAAATTCGAAAAAATTCTTTAAAATTTAATTACTGAGAATCGAGTTCTGAGTTGTTGTCAGTAAATTCACTCATGCATGTAAAGTACTTAAACACAAACAAATCAGTAGAAAAACGTGTCGTAAGAGAAGACGTTATTTCATGCTTTCTTTTTGATACCAGAGTGTTTTTCATGCACAAATAAACACACTGTCAAAAACTCAGAATTCGACTTTCAGTATTTAAATTTTTAAAGATTTTTTTTGAATTTTCATTACATAAAATACCTTGATCAAGGTATTTTAAATACCTTGATAAAGCTATATACAGTGCTATAACAAAAGTATTCGCGATTTTTAGGCAATCGTGTCTTTCTTGCGCTGCGCCTCGCTCGGGGAATGGGTAATAACTCTAATTAGATGCCTTGTTGACATACGAAATTTTTACAGAGTTGTCTTCACATCGGAAGTGACATTATATGTAAGTATTTTTATCGTCTGCTGTCTTGGATTTTATGTAAACACACAGATATTACGATGGGTAGGAAATCTACAGAAATATCAAATGATGTCAAAAAATTAATCGTGGAAATGAAAAAGGAGGGCCAAAAACATCAGTAATTGTGAATTTATTACAAATACCTGAGTCAACCATCAGATCTATTTGGAAAAAATATTTGTCAAATGGTGAAGTCAAAACATTGAAAAGAAAAGGACGCCCTCGGAAGCTGTCAAAACGAGATCAGAACTGGATTATTAGACATACTAAAACTAACAGAGGACGGGTTTTAAAGGATATTACTAATGAATTTAATGAAAGCAGGGTTGCTAATGACTTTGTTAATCCACGGACAGTCCAAAGATTTTTGCGTGATCATGATTATAAGCGAAGAGTTGTTAGAAAAAAATGGCCGTTTCCGAGATCAACAGAAAAAGGCGTGTTGCATGGTGTTTAGAGAAAAGAAAACTCACAGTGAATAATTATTGGAACACAATTATATTTTCTGATGAAAGTCAGATAGTTTTAGGAGAGAATCATAGAGTGTATGTGTGGAGAACATTTAAAGAATTGTACTTGCCGCAGTGCATGTGCCCCCCTCGGCAGAGAAGGATTTCGGTAATGGTGTGGTGATGCATCACTTACCACGGGGTTGGTACACTTTGCATGGTCAATGGAAATATTAATGCAGTAAAATACATATCCATTTTAGAAGATCAACTTTGGCCCGTCATTGCCCGACATTTCCTCAACAAAACTTATCGTTTTCAAGACGACAACGCCCCTGTCCATAGAGCTCGTATTACTGTAGATTACAAACAACAAAATAATATTCCTACAATTGTATGGCCAGCTCAATCACCGGACATTAATATTATAGAGAATTTATGGCTAAAAATCAAGAGAACTCTGCAAAATCGAGCTCCAAACATAAAGACTCTGGAAGAATTGTTCGAATCTGGACTTCCTTCAACGAAAACTATATCAAATCCTTGTATGAATCTATTCCCCGTCGACTATTAGCGGTAATCAAGTCTAAGGGCCACCTCACCAAGTATTAATAAAGGTAAGTCTGTTGTTCGTTTCACAATTTATTGTTTATTTTTACGAAGCGCATCGTGTTTACGTCCGCCATTTTGAAAAATCAAGAATACTTTTGTCATAGCACTGTAGCTTTATCAAGCTATATACCTTTATTGGGGTATTGTGCTGGACCTGGTGAGGCGCATGTACCATTACCAATCAAGTTATTTAATGAAAATGCAGGCGCGGATCCAGGATTTGGAGTTAGGGGGGGGGCGCCAAAATAGGCAAGGGGTCTGGGGGCCGCCTTGAGGCCCCCAGTGGGTCCAGGGCAAAGCCCTGGTGGGGGCCCAGGGGGCGAAGCCCCCGGAAGCTCCTTGATTCTAGAGATTTTGAAGGGTTAAAATGAGGTCTACCAAAGCCCTGGTGGGGGCTCAGGGGGCAAAGCCCCTGGAAGCTCCTTGATTCTAGAGATTTTGAAGGGTTAAAATGAGGTCTACCAAAGCCCTTGTGGGGGCCCAGGGGGCGAAGCCCCCGGAAGCTCCTAGATTTTAGAGTTTTTGAAGGGTTAAAATGAGGTCTACCAAAGCCCTGGTGGGGGCCCAGGGGGCAAAGCCCCCGGAAGCTTCTGGATTCTAGAGATTTTGAAGGGTGAAAATGAGGTCTACCAAGTAGACATAATTGATTTACGCTAACTTTGTCAATTTTAGGGGGGGCGCGCGCCGGGTGCGCCCCCCCTTAAATCCGCCACTGAAATGTGTTAATGATATAAA